ACGGTTCCAGATCATATCTTTATTCTTTTGCATTTCCCTAGCATTTCAACCACTAATTTGTCTTTATTTCTTACACAATTTCAGTAAGATAAGATTTAGGGGGTAGGATGGAGTGTAACCACAGTTCATGGATATAGTGTCATTTCAAGTGTGCCTGGGAATTCAAAATTGTAGGTTATTAAGGGATTAAGTAAGGAAACCCGAGGCCCTGGGAGGTTTTAAGTGGCTGGCCCTTGGTTGCCTCCCCATGTGGAGGAGTGGGAGCCGGAACCCATACCTTGTCCCTCGTAGTCCTGCAATTTTTCCGCTCTATTGCCCTCTCTCTCAGTAGGAAAACACAGGAAAGGCCTGACTCATGGTCTCACTCAAAGGTGGAGAAAGGGAAAAAAAAGCAGGGAGACTCTCTATGAGCTCTAAGAATGTGGTTTGCAGAAAAATAATAGAAAAGAGATTTTCTTGATTTTTGTGATGGATGGTTATAATCATGACCCCCAAACTCACTGCCTTTTGCCAGAGAGCATAAACTCCTTGAACAAAATTTCTTTTCTGTCTCTTTGGTCTCGATTTGTAATTTTAGATAAATTTGTTTCAATAATAGATCTTTTAAACATGTAAAAGCTAAAAGTATTCTTCCATCTCAAGTCTGAAGGTCACCATTGTATTATTCTAATTAATCTCAGTTTCACATATAAGTACAGATGCTCGTTGACTTATCATGAGGTTATGGCCCGATAAACCCATCTTAAGTTAAAAATGTCTTAAGTCAAAAATGCATCTAATACCCCAATAAACCCCATTGTAAAGTCAAAAAAACCCCTAAATTGAACCATCATTAAGTTGGGGAATCATCTGTACCTACTTACATCTTCTAACTCTTAAGCTATAATAAAATGCAAAATTTCAATATAAAATTCTACATTGAAATTAAAAGAATCCTTTGAAGTCATTTTTTCTTGCATTTTGTCCAAAAATAGTAATAATTCTAAATGCTGTAAATGTGCTAGAATCAGAGATGGGTCTAGGCTTCTGCTGTTCAACAGTAGCCACTGGTCTTGCGTGGCTATTTACATTTCAATTAGTTAAAATTACATGCAATTAAAAATTTAGTTTCTATTTGTGTTATGCACATTTTAAGTGCCCAGGAGCCACATGTTGCTAGTGATTAGCATATTGGACTGTGTAAATATGGAACATTGTCCTCACTCCAGAAAGTTCTATTAGTGCGAAGTCTCTTTTAAATCCTATGATGGAGTTTGGGGCATTCTACCCTAAAATATTTTAAGCTGAAGGGATCTGAGAAAACAGTAAAACCAGAAAGGTCACAATGACCTTCCCCCCACCCTTCTCCCCTGAAGTACGTCATAAAACCTAGAAAAAATTTTCTGACCCTCCCTGTAGTAGGACATAAGAACCACATGTGAGGAAAGGAATATCCTTATCTCTGAAGACAAAGGTACAACAAAGAAGAATGTGAACAAACAGGGCTTGCTAAGTTTTCCCCAGTTTATTACTGTTAGATCATACTCTTTGCCCTATCGCATTTCTCCACGACTGTGCCCTCTTCATCAAACGTACCATAAAGAACACTCAGGTTGAACTGCTATTTTTGGGTTTTCATTTTTCTTTTTTTCTTTTTATTTTTTTTTGAGACAGAGTCTCACTTTGTTGCCCAGGCTAGAGTGAGTACCATGGCGTCAGCCTAGCTCACAGCAACCTCAAACTCCTGGGCTCAAGCAATCCTGCTGCCTCAGTCTCCCGAGTAGCTGGGGCTACAGGCATGTGCCACCATGGCCGGCTAATTTTTTCTATATATAGAAGTTGGCCAATTAATTTCTTTCTATTTATAGTAGAGACGGGGTCTCGCTCTTGCTCAGGCTGGTTTCGAACTCCTGACCTCAAGCAATCCGCCCGCCTCGGCCTCCCAGAGTGCTAGGATTACAGGCGTGAGCCACCGTGCCCGGCGGTTTTCATTTCTTTATGAAGGTTCCTGTGTCATGTAAAACTTACGTTACGTCAACGTGCATGCTTTTCTCTTATTAATCTGTCTTTGTTATAGTGGCTTTGGCCACGAACCTAGGATAGGTAGAAGGAAAGATGTTTTTCCTCCTCTATACCTATATTTTCCAAAAGGCATAGAACAATTGGAAAACAATTAGGAAAGAGGAAAAATCCTTTAACAGGTAGCTACAAATTTTTGAGAGCAAGAAATAATACAGATGGTCACATATTTTACTGCACAGTGAAGATTGCAAGATTGCTCAAACCCCTACAGGAGAAGGCGAACGACCTGTGAAAAGAGCAATGATATTAGCTTCATTAGGAGCTTTCAAGTCTCCCAGATTTTAATTCCTTAATGTTGAACACTGAAATATTTGTGGAGAATCACACAGGCCTGTTGTGTGACTAAGTCTCGTTACCCCCTTAAGGGTGCTCATCTCTCGTAAAAACTCATTTCACATCTCATCAGTTGCAACCACAAGCTGGAGAAACTGGTTTCTCAGTTCTCAGAGGTAAGAATACAGACACAGAACTGATAGAATAAAGGACGAGGATTTTTCTCTAATGAGACCAAGCTCAAGCAACCCTCACTTCTGGAAATGGAATAAGCTTTCTGCTATTTTCCACAGGGTACTTGGCAGTGATAATTGTGACACATTTCAAGGGTATTTTAGGAATCTCGGGGAAATATGACTGGAGTGTTTGTTCCAGGTATGCAGTTACTGACTAATGATTGATGCCGATTTGCCCTTTTGTCCAGCACTTGGCAGAGGGATTTTGGATGGAGATCTGCAGAGTGCTAGAAGTAAAAATATTATGACACATGTTACAAAGAGATGCTTTAGATGCAGCTTTAAAAGGATGCCAACATTTTATACCTACTCATGAGACCGAACAAAGAGATCAAGAATTTTCCCCACTAGATATTAACTGTGAACACAAATTTGCAGGTAACAGTTATTGTGTACAGAGATGAGAAAGGAACTAAGAGGAAGAGGGTAGCCAGGAATTTACAGTTCTTTAGAGTTAACTGTCTGGGAGGCAAGAGTCTTTTGGGGTATATGGTTAACTCTGTTGTTTTCACAATAAGTAATTTAAAAAATCCAGCTGAAACTTCAATCTGAACCCAGAGTCAAGATAAAAATAAAGCACTCCACAAATACATCAAAGGCCTGGATTCGAATGTTCTTCCTCACAGTTATTACTAGGTAGAGATCTTGTCACTTCCTAGATTATTTTAACTCTAACCTGATTACTGCGCTCTGTATTTATCCTCAGGGTTTAACCAAACATTATAAAAATCAGGTTCTTAGAAGTGGAGGGCGACATCCAATCTAGAGTTCATCAGTTCATACAAAAATAAAACACAATGAACATAGACGACAGCATTCTCCAGATATGAGAACATTTTTTTTTTCCTTTGAAAACAGTGGGGTGGAGTAAGCAATTCTTATGACTAAGCAAGTATGTTCTATGTAGGCCTAAAAAAATGTGCTTCCCCTGGCTAAGGTAAGTATAGTTATTATGGCACAACTTCCCACATTTCTCAAGTTGAAAATATCACTTGGAATATACCCATTTTCATTTAGCCCAGAAGGTACCTCCTTCTTATTGTTGTATTGTTTTCAGGATAAAAATCAAAATCGAAATCAAACCAAAACAAAGCCACCCCCCTCCAAAAAACCAGTTTTACAAAGCTAGAAATTTTATTTAAGATAAAAACTCTCCATCCCTGTGTTTTGGTGGTTATTGATGGAAAACAACTCAAATAATAATTCCTAAGAATATTATTTGCTTCATATTTTAGCTTATATTTTTAAACATATTTCTGCATGATGTTTCACATCTTATAAAATGCATTTAATATGCATTATTTTATTTGATCCTCAGAATAACTCTGAAAGGGGTTACCTGATATCAATTCTTAGTCCCATTTCACATATGTGAAAACTGAGTCTCTTAACTTTGGTAACTTGTGTATGCTCCCACAAGAAAGTAATTAGAGCTGCTGTCTATGTTAGGAACAGCTCTGATTCCTTTTAAGTTTACTATTTATTTTGTGCTCAGTAAAGCGCAATATATTAATATTATAGCACAGTATTACTAATGATAAGATCATAGACTTTGGAAATAGTTGACTAGAGCTCTAGTCTTGGCCCTGGGATTTACTGACCATGTTACACTGGTCAACCTACTGATTATATCCTAAGCCTCAGTTTACTCACCTACAAAAAGATAATAAAAAATAGCAATCTCCTTACAGTATTGTTGACATATTGCTAAGTGAGCTAATGAGTACTTACAGTAGTGTTTGGCACCCAGTAAATACTATTATTATTATTATTATTAAAGGTTACTGCTTTCCTTAAATTGTTTTTCCTCTTACATCTTTATATTCACTTTTGTTTATTTCTGCATAATCCAAGAGGTGATTCCCCAGGTAGCACTTAGCAGTATTTAGAAAAAAAAAATGAGCATTTCCAGATGAAAAATATTTTCATATTTAGAAAATGAAAAGGTCTCTGACAATTTATATTTTGCTATCTGTACTGTGCTTAATTTTATAATGACTTAATTGAATTAAGTTTTGGCTCTTAGCATTTTCTTAAAGTAATCTAGATTTTGCAGTCATATCCTGTAAATGAATAGCATTATATTTCTACAAGGAGGCCAAATAAGGTCTAAAATGACCGCATCATACATTTGATTATATATTCTAATACAGCTATTGTTGACTCATATGGTATATTGTGAGAATTAGAAAAAGGAATTCCTTCTTCAGGATGGAATTAACTTCTCACCAGGGCACTTGGCTTGGCAAACCTAGCACTGGTAGAAGTTCAGCTCCCTATCTTCCCCTTGGCTGGGTGCCCTTGTGCAGTGAACAACCTGAACAACTGTATGCGATGAGCCTGTCTTCCAGTACTTTTAAGATAACACAACCGATGCAGCTGAAAAGAGCTAGATGTAGCACTGCAACAAGCAATTTGAGAACGACATACCTCATGATACTTCTTCACAGTTTTCCCTGAATTGCATGTGCAGGACTTCCAGTTGGCAGTTCCACAGCCACAATTTCCTCCACAGCGCTGCACAAGGAGGCAACGTGGAAAGAAGACCACACTGGTCAGCTTCAGCTCTTCTCTTAAATTGACCGAGTAATTCCTGGGAGTGCAGCTGTAGCGCTTGACGTCATCATTGAGCCTGTCCAGGTCAACTGTAAGCAAATACACACACTGTGTGAAGCGAGCACAACCGTAAGCAGGAACATTCAGCACGTGTTATCGAGAACGGAGTGGGAAGATTCTGTGCCAGCAGCCTTAACCCAGGGATTACATCTGTCCTTAGCATCTCAATTACTGGGCACCTAAAGTGGGAAACCTAATTTCTCTTTTGATCCTATCTGCCCTGCAACACTAACAACAAAATAAAACAAAAACTACACTAAAACCTGTATCTTGGTTCAAATTGCCGTGCATCTTTTCTTAATGCCAAAAAAAAAAAAAAAAAGTTCTGAGGGAAGAAAATAAAACATTTGGCAATTTAAACTAATTGTCTTTACTTAAAAAAAAATAAATTTCTCCTTGGTTCTAAATAAAGCCTGACTCTAAGTCATTATTTAAATATAATTTGAATTATTAATATATGTCTAGGACACATTAGGGACAACCACTGTAATATATTTCCCTGGCCACAAAATTTTGCAAGTAAATATAAGGAAGAAAAGGTTTTTGTTTCATTTAACTCCAAAGTCAACCAAAATATTAAAGGAAATGGAATTTTTTGTTTTTCGTTTTTTTGCTGTGCATATTTGCGCATTGGGTCCTAGGTGGCAGTATAGCATAGTGGTTATGTGCTGGGGCACTGTAGAGTAAAGCTGCCTTCAATCACATCATGGCTATGCCACCTTTTAGCTGGAAAGCCACCTAATGGCTCTGAACCTCTGCTTCCTCATCTATAACATGCAGATATTTGAAGGACTGAATGTAGTGTGCCTGGCGCTCAATTATTGCTGGCTATTATTATTCATTTTGATTCATTTCATTCTCCCTCTCCCACATTTTCTTCCTTTAAAACTAAATCTTTCCTTCAAACCTAAAAAAAAAAAAAGTCTTTCTCCCTCTTCATTTTTTTTTTTTTTTTGGCCATTACAGTAAGTAAATGAATATGCATTTGAATTGAATTTGTATTATTGTGTTATGGAAATTATTATTTTAATTAGTGTTCTCAAAATACATCCAATCACCCACACATTTAGCATGCAGATTCTCTTACTGGTGCACACACACACACACACACACACACACACACACATACACACGAGTATCTTCTTACAAGAATGCAATTAGAAGCAAGTCTGTTTGCACAGGTTCCACCACCATTTCCTAGTCCATGTCCCCTGTGCACCAGCCAGGCTACTGTAGGAGGAATCCTACCAATGTTAGATATCGCTATGCTCGCTCTGAACTCCAGCCCCAATAAATATCTTAGTCTGAAACCAGCCCTGCTTGAGGAGCAATAAGGAATGGTCTTTGGGGGTAGAGGTCAAATGCCAAGGACAGTGTCAGTGGAATGTATCCAAAAGAAGCAAAAGGAAAAGAAGGCGTAAGTGTGGATCAAGAGTCTATTAACCCATCCCTGCGTGCCTTTTAACATGTGCAACTGTGCTTTAATTCTCAAGGGCAAGGGTTTATTCTCCAGCTGTTATATACTGAGCCCAGGACATTGTGAGAACTGAATAAATGCTAAGTAATCACTGTGTATAATTTATTGCTGTTTTCTTTCTTTCTTTGTAAAGACATGTCATAACTTTAGCTACAATCAATCCAGATTTAAATTGAATGAACTCCGTCTTGGGAAAGGAACCATTTTATTGCTGCTAAAGTCCTGAAAATAACTGCAAGCAAAGCAGGAAGGATTACATAAATGGATTAAGAAGTGCAGCAACCATCCATTACAAGTGTCACCTTGAGATAAATATCGATGCTGGCCTGGGCATTCCTGTGGACAGGGCTGATGCAGAGGGCCAAATCTGCTGCCTGTGATAATGGGAATGGATTTGCCTAACACGGAGGAGTAAAAGAGGTGCAATTAGCAGGAAGGGATTGTGATGAGAGGGAAGGCAGAGAGGGACAGGTAGGAGGTACCAACACTGAGTCTCTAGCTAGTTCAGGCCTCTGTATGTACCTTAGCGCTGTGACTACATTTAGCTGTCCCTCACCCTTTTGAGGTGGCTATTGTTTCCCCAAGGTGAATAGTAAATGGAAAAACTGGAATGGAAACCTTTCTCTGTTTTGATTCATAACCTCTGCCATATCAAGCAGGACAGGAAGATGACAGGTAGCCCATTGGTTGAAGGAAGAAGACCAGGGTTGCTAGGGCTCTATAGGGCTCTCTTGTAGGATGCTGAACTGGGCTTGGGTGGTGAATGGCTACACCCTTAACCCCAGGAACTACCTGAGCCAAATGAGAGCATGCCTTCCCTCGGGAATTTAGCCAATCCCCAAAGTTCCCTCAACAAACCAGGGCAAGGCCTTGCTCCCCTTGAAACCAAACTCCTCACATTGTGTAACCGTTTAACTGATTAGCACTGGTTACTTCCGTTTCTTACCCACCACGAAGAGATTTACAATTCTGTCAGTTTTATGCATCAATTCCCTGATGTGACTAAGAACCGTGGCCCAGTGTGACTGCTGCAGAATCCAGCTGCCCTACATAGCAGAGGATTGAAACCACCGAGGCACTCAATTTAGAATTAGAACTAAAAGGTTCTCTGACGGGATGCAAATAACTTCAAGGCATGACTGCAGACTTTCTGCAGGGGATATTGAGTTTCCAGTCAAAGAAGACTGATTAGGCGGGGCAGCAGAGTGGGGAGCCAAGCAGAGGCTGGGCAGCAATTAAAGCTTCTGCTGCTTCGGTCTGAGGGGCTCTGGCGTGAGACTTCTGGGAGGGAGACAGGCCACGTGGGCCAGATCCATGTGGGAGAGGGGCTGCCCCTTCCGTCCCCATAGCTGAACATTACAGAACAGCAAGGATGTTCCAAATTCAATTCAAAGGCCCGTTAATTTCACTGAAGGTCCCTTATTTCACCCAGGTTTACATAACGGTATGATCCCTCTCTTGCTGTCCTTTTGAATTTGAGTCTTGTTTTGCATGGATCTTCGACATGAATTAAGTTTTGGGGCTTTGTACGTACAACCTTCTGGAAAGACTTGCTTCTTTAGGCTGTGATGAGAATTCTGGAATCTGAGCCTTGGGTGCAGATGTGAATGCACACCCTTATTCAGTCTCCTATGGCTTAGGTACGGGAGGAGGAAGAGTCAACCCGGTCTTTTTGATCCTGATAATCCAGACCTCTAAACAGCAGGTACTGTGAAAAGTTCTTCACATGCATGATTGCATGACATCCTCATAGATGCTATGAATTACACACCATTATTACCCTTACTTTTACAGTTAAGGAAACTGAGCCTTTGCAAAGTTAAAAAAGAACACTTGTCCACAGCTGTATTCACTCAGTGGCCGAGCCAGGGTTGGAATCGAGGCCTCTTCATGCCTTTTGTACTTATGAGCCCCAGGGTGATGAGGAAGAGGGTGCAAAGAGCAGCCTCCACAGCCATGCTTGAGTCTCCCCACCAGAGAACATTTGCTGTCCAAAGGACCTGGCTTCCTAGGTGCATGGATAGGCACTGACCTATCCATGTCACCTTCACGATCTCATCAGTTGCACATACCGAAGCAGGAGCTCCTGAGCACACTCATTCATCTGTTGGGTTCTGACTAATAAACCAGGCAACTATACAGAGCCTACTTTTTTCTTTGGTGGTTCAATATAATAAGTTTTATCTTTTCACCTGGACAGAGGGGAATTTGGCTGAGGCATGTCTCTTCATTTTGTTCTTATTTCTCCTTGAACCCCTTCTTGCATTTATCTACTTGTAGTCTTTGTCATGAAAACCAATCAGAGGCCCAAGAAAGGAGCTGGATGGATTGACAGCAATGATTTGTCCTAAGTGGGAATGAATGACAGCATCCTAGAGATTCTAGTTTCTACAGGACAGATAAACCCAATATACCCAGTATGCATTCACATACTTGGCAAACACTGCATAGTTGGTGATCAGTTTAAGACAAAATTTTACATATGTAGGTCTATTCCTTTTCTTTTTTAAAAAAGTGGCACACAATTGCATATAAGTTGTCTGTTCAGGTGGGCAGAAATCCAAAATGGGCTTTACTGGGTTAAAAATCAAGGTATGTAAAAGCAAGCCTGTGTTCTTTTGTGAATACAAAAATTCGCTGTGAAACAAAATAATCCGTTCACTTTGAATGTGGGAAAGTAATTTTTTTCTCCCAATTTAATTTACTGCTTGTTTTGTTCAACAGGAGGATAGTTTCCTTGGATCAATCTCTAAATGTCAAGTTATCAGTCAGCTTTCACTATGCTGGTTGTGCATCAATCTTTCTGTTGATATATGCACCACCAGCCTTTTTCCTCTTGATCATCCCGAGTCTGCTAGAGTGTCCAATTAAACTGCTACATGTCCTTGGAGAAAGCCAGCAATCATTTTATACCAACCAGGTCTAGGCTTTACAATGCTAAAATTCTGCATAAACTCTTTCAGCAGGCATGCAGCAGCAGCCTCCGTGTTAGCGTGTGTTTAGTACACGGTGATGGCATGAGGAGAGTGGGGGCTGGGAGTAGGGCCATGCTCATTTTCAACACCATACTTGTGTCATTCTGTTTTGTCTTACCTGGCATCTCAGCCTGCTACATCACTTTGATCTTCTAGGGCTCAAATCAAAAGGCACATTCACCCTACATCTTCTCTGACCCTTTATGTACTCATCACTCTTTCTCTGCCCTCTATTAGAGACAGCACCTACTTCCACACACCCTGCCTTACTGTTTTCTTTCTAGTCTCCAACTTACAATGATTCCACTCACAATTTTTTGACTTTATGATGGTGCTTTCAATTGTGTGTGTTAGTGGTGAGTACCCACACAACCATTCTGTTTTTCACTTTCAGTACAGTATTCAATAAACTACATGAGCTATTCAGCACTTTATTGTAGAATAGGCTTTGTGTTGGATAATTTTGCCCACCTGCAGGCTAATGTAAGTGTTCTGAGCATATTTAAAGTAGAGGAGGCTATGAATGTTCAGTAAGTTAGGTGGATTAAATGCATGTTTGACTTAAAGATATTTTCAA